TACATTGTAATTACGTGTCTTAAAAATTACGTGTCTTAAAAAAGTTTATTAATAATATTGATATTGTTACAATTAGACTACATCATATGCGATATGTAATACTTTCAAATAAAATTAATTAATTAAAATATTAGTAACCCTGATTATATTGTTTGCATTGCTTGCTAAATAAAGTTAGTAGTTTGTGTTAAATTTGAAGATCAGCGTAGGCCAAATTGACCACTTGGCAAATTGACCACAAGACGAATTGACATCTGGCCAAATTGATGACTGGCCAAAATGGTCTCTAGTCAATTTGTCTTCTGGGTGAGTTGTCCTTTTTAAAATAATGTATATAAGGGGTTAATCGATGGTTGAGATAAAGAACACTTTTGAATGATATTTTTAATAATATAGAAACTTCCCGATAATCCCTTAGATAGATATTTTTAATAGCCGTAGTAATTTCGCAATGATTAACATTTAATAAAATTGACTCTGTAAAGTATAGAGCGCTGACATTGAGGTAGTACTGATATATTTAATTTTTATTGAATAATTATTGCTACATTATTACATAATTAAAATCCTTCTGCTATATTATACATTTGTTTTTAAATATAAACCATAAAGAACTGAATGCAACAATATACAGTATTATTATATTAAATGTTATACGGCTAAAAATATTAAAAATATCAAACAGTATTGAAGAAAAAAATACACAAGTTAAAGTTCTTTATACTTGCTCAAAATGTTTACAAAAAAATGCAAATGGTCTTTTAATAGCCAAAGCTACCAGAACTAGACAAGGCAAATCTGATCGCGAACAAGAAAAACTTTCAAGCGTAAGTTCAAGTTCTGATTCAATAATTGATGATACCTTAAGAAGGTATAATATAAATTTTATTGTATATTTTGCAAATATTTTTAATTATGTATTTATTTATAAATCTGAAAGTAGCAGTTCATTATATAGTATATTTGATTCGCCTATGGATATTGATGATTGGATATATGTAGATGATAAATCTTTAACAAATTCTGAAGTTAACGAATTTTCTAACAGTTCTGAAATTGATGAATTTTCCAACAGTTCTAGAATTGATGAAATTTTTAATAATTCCAAAATTGATGAATTTTCCAGCTCAAGTGATTCTCTTATTACAGTTAATCATGGTATTTATTCTAATGACTAAATAATAATTTTAATATACATGTATATATTAATGAAATTAATTAATACAGCAGGTAGTAATCAACTATCAGATGAAATGGCTTATGCTCTAAGATTATTTGAGGTTACATCACGTTGTAACTTAATAGATGATGCCTTTCGGCAAACTATGCTAGCAGTTAATAATGGTAATATAAGCCAATTTCGAATCAAAAAGAAGCTAAAATCTATAGAAAATTTAGAACCGATATGGATTGATATGTGTATTAATTCCTGTTGTGCATATACTGGGCGATATAAGGAACATATTCAATGTGAATATTGTGGAATACCAAGATATCAAAATGCAATATCAAATGTAGATCTTATTTCTTGACGTCAAATGGGTTATTTTTCAATAAAACCCGACTAAAAATTCAATATCAAGACCCAATATACTCCCAGGAATTGAGATATTGTGCTAACTATACTTGTTGTCAAGGTTTTGGTTTAAATGGTAATATTGGGATATATTTGATGGTACAAGATATTATCTAGCAATCTTTTTCAAGATGAACGAGATGTAGCATTAACTGGTTCAGTTGATGGATACCAAATTTTTCGCCAAAAGACAGATGATTGCTGGATAGTTCTTATGATCAATGCAAATATTTGTTCAGAAAATCATGTTAAAAAAGAAAATCTCTTAATAACAGCAATTATTCCTGGTCTAAAAGAACCTAAAAATTTCAATTCTTTTATGTATCCAATAATTTATGAATTAAGAGATTTAGAAGGTAATTTTTAATATAATTATATTATCATTAACAATAAAAAAATTTAACTAATATATATTATTTGCAGATAGAATTGATTGTTATGATAGACTAAAACAGAAGAATTTTCTATTGCATGCACGTGTTTTATCATGGTCAGATGATACTCCTGGATTAACAAAACTTATAAATCTTACAAGACACAATTCATACAAAAGATGTAGGTGATGTAATATTCGTGGCATTTACAAAAATCATGTATACTTTCCAACTATGCCACCTAGAAAAAAGAGAAATGAATATAAACAATATGATCCTAAAAATTTACCCATGCAGAGTCATAGTCAATTTAAAAAACAAATTAGTCAGTTGGATAAAACAAATTCAAGTAAAGATCGACATGATTTGGAATCAGAATTTGGTATAATCCGTTTAATTTAATTAATTTATTACCTTTATTGCACATATAATTAAACATTATTTTTTTTGCTATTCATAATAATAGGAATTAAGGGGCGTAGCATATTATTTGACTTACAAGCAACTTGTTTTCCAACATCATTTCCTATTGATATGATGCACTTAATATACAAAAATATTGCAGATTATATGTTTCAACACTGGATTGGAAAATTTTTCAAAAAAGATAGCAATCAGGACAATGGTGAATATGTGCTTATTTAATCTCAATGGAATAAAATAGGAAATAAGATGCATAGTATTAGAAAGTCACTTCTAACTTATTTAGGAAGACCACCCTGTAATTTAGTTATCCACCATAATAGATATAAGGCTGAGGAGTGGGTGGCCTAGATAACTATGTACTCTTTACCTTTACTAAAAGGGCAAATGCCAGATAGACACTATAAAGGATAGGCTTGTTTTGTTAAAGCTGTTCGCCTATGTCAGAAATTGATATTAACTTCTCAAGAATTGAGTGAAATTCAATTTTTATTTCAATCTTTTTATAATTATTAT